GGTGAAAGGTTAGGTATTTTTAATGATTCTATTTGCAATAAATTTTAAAATAGATCGCTTAATATGTAACCTTAGTGTATACTACAAATGATTGTTGCAAAATAGCACGAATGTTTATGTGTACAGTCAATCAACAAAGTTTAGGTTATGCGAAAAACCAAACATTTAAAAACAGTTGCCCGTTATGCGAAAAACGAAAACATTTAAAAACAGTTGCCCGAATTGCAAAAAACTCTACCTAAACTTTATTGATTGATTGTATATACATATGTGGGTATATAAATATACATACATGTCCTGCAGTGGAAAAAACAAAATTCTAAGTTTCATCAAAGAACGAAAACTATTTTACATTTCCGAAACTACAAATGTTGAGTATTTATTTGTATGTATACCATGTATTGTAAATTACAGTCAATCAATTAAATTTAAAGGCTTTAAATTTTTCAAATATATAAGGGAAAAGTTTTAGAATGAAATTATATACTAGAATTTAAATCTTACATACTCGTATTCCGTCTACATACGTACATATATGCATTTACTTGAGGCGCATAATGCGCTTCATTTAATTTTCAAGAATTACACAACTAAACCTTAACGTCCATGTCGTATGCAAGAACACGTTTAAATAAAATCATAATAAAATGCAGATCGAAATCTTCTTGGGTACTGAATGGAAAACCTCCATTGCGTTAACCACATAAGGGGTATTCTCCGAGTCTTGCAAAGCTCTTGCACGGCGCATGGACTGCACGGTAAATACCGGTTTTCTTCTGCGACAGTTTTGCAAATCGTTCACCGTGCGAGGGCTATACAAGGCTTCGAAATACCCCTATAGAACTTCTGTATGTATATATGAAGGAACGGAAATTAACTACGAAAGAGGTAAACATAAAAAATAAATAAAGTGTCTTAAGGAAAGGTATAAAAACATTAACGCATATAGATTGCGTTTATTTTGAAACATTTGCAATTGCATTGTTTGTCATCTTTTTGGCACTGTTTTCTGTGCCTTGTTGATTAGTGGCATTGTTAAAGTGTACAGTTTGGTTATGTTGAAAGAGGTCCATTATACATTTGAATGATATCTTGCATTGATGACATATAATTGACTTGTTGGGAGTACGATGTACCCCAGCATGTGCATTCGTTTTCTTTACCATTCTTGCAGATGGTGGTGCCATTTCCGATAGTAAGCCATCAACTGCGGCAGCAGCAGTGTTTGCTATCATTGTAATTTCAGCGAGAGCTATGAAAAATAGTAATATATTAAGTACCATTGTTTTTTTTTTAACTAAAATCTTAAGATTATTATACCTTTTTTATCGTTAGTAGAATCGGTAGAGCTAACAGAAATGCTACTTAGGTCCGAATGAGAACGCTGCGTTGGTGCACTTATCGAAGATGTCATTTGCGTTTGTGAATTTATCTTACCATTAGATGAATTTGCATGAAAAAATGCAGGCAATTGAGCTTTTCCAATGTGATCCATCTCATGAAAGTTTAGCTTGCGCTTCTCATTTGGTGGAATTTTAGGACAATTTTGCAAAAGATGAATGTGTAAGGCACGCAGCAGTGCAAATTTTTTGTCGCAATATTTACATTTATTTACACCATTTGCTTGCGAATTTACTGGTGCAGTGTTCGAATCGTTTGAAGTTGTTTTCTTAACAAACGCCGGCAATTCATCGCCTTCATGAGAGCGTTTATGTGCATCCAAGAGAGACTTTATGTAATATTTGCTGCCACAAACATTGCAAACAAACGACGTCTCTGCTTTTCTAGCTAGACTTGGTCGAGGTTTCGCATTAAAGGTTGTCAATGTAGAAGCGATGGTCGTTTTGTACGATTCACTGCGTGGCTTGTCAATAGGAAATATTGACTTTCTATTAGATGGTATTGATTTTAAGGAATCAGAAGGGGGCTTTGATGAAGATTGTAAACTGGTAACGCTATTTGTGGATTGAGTGGACTTCCCAACTGGCTGCATACTTTTGCGACTAGTCTTCAGTGACACAGTTGGTGCGACATTTTTCCAGTTCTGTTGTCCCGTTGGTAATACCGACCGTCGAGCTATTTTACGAGCTGGGCTGTTTAATGTGGTCTTAACTAATACAGACATACGATGAGTGAACGCGAAAGGACGCTTTTCTGGTAGTGATTTGGCAGTTGTTGGTAGGATTGAAGAACGTCCCTTCGAGTTACATGAAATGGACTTACGTTTATCCAATACAGAAGAAGTTTTGGTTTTATCATTTATTACAGTTGGAGGTTCAGTGAATTTCAAAACCTTATTCAACAATTTTGGTATTTCTGAATTTATCTCTTTGTCTAAATTCGTCTTAGTAGCAAAGTTGTTGAAAGAAAATCGCTTACTTGCTGCATTTGTGACAATTCTCGATGGACGATTAGTTAAAAGATTGGGCTCACAAAGAGATTTCTTTGCTATTGATTGGCGTTTGTTGAAATCTGCTGCTTGCACTGCAAATTAGTAAATAAAATAATAAAAAATATTTGTGATTTATGTCAGAACCTAAATGAGTTTTTAGGCTTAGATATTTAAAGTAAATATTTTCCCTGCTGAATCATTTACCTTTACTTTCCACTACAGCTTTAATGGTTTGATCGTCGGTATTTTTTGGCGTTTCGTCGTCTTCGGTATTTGCCATTTCAGTAGTTTTCGATATTTCACATTCTGTTTTTTCACTTTCAGTATCTGATTTTAGAGTACTTACTTCGAGTATTTGTACATTTTCTTTTTTAGGTAAAGTAGGAATTTCTTCATTACTTTTACCACATAGTAATGCTACTTCATTTAGAGGTAAGGCATTTTCTTTATTCTTAACATGGTCATTCTCAATTTTCTCTTCCATATCCATAAAAGCCAATTTCATATCAAAGCATCGGTCGGCGCTTGACCCACGATTTACTTCCACGCTGCGTAACAGTTGTTCCTTTGTTGGTGTCGAGCTGGCAATATTAAACTCTTGGAGTACTCTCTTTGGTATAGCAGACAGCTGCGAATGTGTGTCCATATCCTTCACAGATGCAAGGTAGTTTAAGTGTGAATCGATTGCCTCCAATGTACTATTTTGATTCAGCTCTTGAGAGTTTTCCACTGTTTCCTCCTCATGGTCCATGTTAGATAAAATCGAAAGATTATCTGTGGTCGCTTCAAGAGTCTTGTAAGCAGCACTGGAAATGCTCGAATCGAACGACAAATACATAGAAACACCCGTGGTATTTGCTTCACTATAAGTTTGTCTGGAAACGTCCATTTTGTACTTTCTAATTCACTCGCTTAGTTTTTATTTCGATAAATGTGTCCACAATACTTAAAAACAGACGCTGTGCTAAATTTATTTATTTTGTTCAAAGCCCGCTTGGAATGCACTCAATATTTTTCCTTTCGGTTTTTGTCAAAGCGTTATTTTTAAAAGCATTTTAGCTGTCACTTTTGTCCAATACAGAGTTGCTCAACCGATAACACTGAACAATACTTTGAGGTGGGTTCAGTAGCAAAATAAATAATCCTCAACATAACATCACGGCTACACGTTGTTTAGATTTTAATAGAGCGCACTAGACGGAACCATGGTGGAATAATAACAAGGTGTTGTTAGAAGCGACGTGTTTATTGTAATTTTGACAAGATCAGCATGCTTATTTTCAGTGCTGTCGATCTTAATTTTTTTACTACTATTTGTTGGGAAATAGTATCTAAAATACTCTATTTTAGTAATTCGTTTTATGTCGATTTTAAATAACTTGGTGTTTTCAGAACGATATTAATATTTAAAATTTCTGTATTTCTATAATTTTTGTCCTTAACATGTAAAAAAAGATATCGTAGTTACCAATGAAAAAAGACGTACACAAAAATCATATGGAAAGGCGATTTTTTCATATTAAATAACTTTTGCTGCATTGTCATAACATCGAGCCAAATGGACCACTGATACGCTAGAATAGAGTGACAGCATGGTTAAATTACGATTTCACTTATATTATTGATATTTATGTGTTTTAATCTATTTAAAAAATCATTTACAGTCTTATAGGAAATTGCCTTATTTTACTGCCTTTACTTATATTTATTTACTTAGTAATAGTTAGTAAATAATGACTACCTTTTCTACTATTTTAAAATGCGTGACCGGAATAGACCTACCGAAAAAGTGAGGTTAAGTTACTGATAACATCTTTTTATTATTACACCATGAGACTGAGCAATCAACTACTCGAACAAACCCTAGACTGAGCAGTCGGTCGAAAACAGGTTCAAATAGCGGAGTTTACACAATCAAACTTGTGTGACAACTTTGCATGAGGCGAATATAACTTTAAGAAAAAAAATTGCTAACCAGTCAACATGTGTTTCGAGCGGTTGCTTAAGCGTTTTCACTATTGAACATCGACAGTTATCATACCATGTTTTTGTTGTTGTTGTAACAGCATACAAATTGCCCAAAGAGATCTTGGGGAGTGTTGCTGGAGTGACAGTCCTTGGCCAGATATAAATCTGGGTCGTTCCGGTTACGTAGACCCGACTGTCGTGGGAACGCACACCATGTTGTCAGACATGTTGCCAGCTTTTCAGTGCATAGCTGTGGTTTAAACTCAGTTTAAACGTTTGAGCTTAACGCAGTTTACGTGATCTAAGTTTAAATCTGCTCGGAAAAACTGGCCCTATGTGTGCGTGTCAGTCCACCGTTCACCCTCAATCTCCGATTTTTGCTATAAAAAGCCCGGTTTTAGGCCGACTAAGCAATGCAGTGTGCGAACGCTTAATCAACATTTTGGAACCTTTTTGGGAACGGACCCTGAACATCGCAATTATGAACCTTCGAAATTTTTTGAATGCAACCTTTTTTTATATTTAGAATATGGCGATAGGTCTGCAGTGACCGATTGTTGGTGTTGATCTGTAGTTAGAAAATCAAACAGAAAATATGGCAGCATTCTGTGCTGCCACTTTCGTATTTCATCCAGAAATTCACCACACCTTTCTCAACACTTCGGAGTACGACGACCATATTTCCTTTCTTTTGGATTCTTGAAGTGAAATAACCAAGATGGGTTTCGCAAATATTTGGTATTCTCATCCACGTAAATACGGCCAAGGCTCAAGATGCTGGTAAATATATTATGTGGTCTTAATTTGCAACCAACTGTAGAACTTAGGCAAAGAATTTCAACGAATTGGTCTAAATGTGCGATAATATTTGAGGTTATATTTAGTTGGCCAAATGTGCCATGAGTGCTCCTGCAGTAATATAGGATTTGCTGAAATTCTTTGCAAAGTATGCCCCCGGTTGAGTACGGAAATTGCGTAAAAATCATTTGTATTTTCCTTAATTGAGGGTGGCAAAATAAATAAGCTTGCAAAACGATCTTTCTGCTTGATACTTGCTTCTATGTAAATGCGGAATTGGTACAGTAAGCTACAGTTAGACGGACACTTGTATAAATATTACTTGTACAATTATGATAGATATTTTATTAATTTTCTTCCCATATTTTTAGTCGATCCTGCTCTAACCGCCACGGTTTGATCCGCAAATATGGCCTGAATATCTGCCGTCAGTGCTTCAGAGAGTATGCCAATGATATTGGCTTCAAGAAGGTACAAAATTACAAGATAATTAAGCCTTTGCTTGTACTAATTAATTTACATTTTTACAGCTCGACTAAATTGAGATAGAATCTCATTCGATGACGATTTCCCGCATTTGGGTGTGTCATCACAACCATTTCACATATTAATACAAGCAGTTTGCTGATATACAAAAGGCAAACTACGTGAATTAATATGTGGGCAACAACAACAACAGCAGCAACAACAACATCATCTGAAAGTTTCAATAAGAAGCAATGGAGTTGAACCAAACTTTTTGTAAATGAAACGAGTAATAATTTGATGAACATGTGTAACATCTTATTTGAGCTTTCCGATGAAAATAAAACATAACAAGATTAAATATTGTAGTCTTTCTTTTTTTTTTTGAAGATAAATTAAAATTTGCACGTAGGTACACTATAAACTTGATTTCTGATAACGAGAATTAGTATTTTTGTTAGGTATTGTCGGACAATTTTTATAATACATATGTACGCTTGTGATCAGTGGACTAAGGGCCGTTTTCTGAAGTAACCTTTAACTTTAAAGCTCACTTTATATTTAAAGGTTGGATTAAAAATAAAGCTATGTCTAAAGTTAAGCATTACTATTATCGGTTTTTGCCTCTTCCGTGTTTCTTGGTTGTAAAGCAATTTAAACCCGGTAATAAAATGCTTTACTTAAGACACAATAGGGGTATTCTCTGAGTCTTGCAAAGCCCTTGCACGGTGCACGGATTGCACGGTTTGCAAAGCTGTCCCATACGAAAACCGGTTTTAACCGTGCAATCCGTGCAATCTGTGCACCATGCAAGGGCTTTGCAAGACTCAGAGAATACCCCTAATCATAAATTTTAATGCAATCTTTAAATATAAAGTGAGCTTTAAAGTTACAGGTTGCTTGATAAAGCGGCCCTAAGTCATTTTGATAAATTTTTGCTATTTTATACCTTTTATTAGCTCGGGATGTAACTATGTAATATTGATGCGCCTAAAAGATGCAGCGATTTCTATTCTCAAGTTATATATCTGATGACAGTACGAATGGCAATTATAATGAGGTTTTAGTTTTTTAAACTATAATTTTTTTTATTTTGTTCAACAATTTTTATTGAGCTTCAGGCCGTTTTTAATGAAAAACTTATTGTGGAAAAGCAACAATAATTTGATAAAATGGTAGAAGTGATAGCTATTTCGGAAATCACCACATTTCCTCATCAGACTTCTTTCAGTAGGATTCGAACCGACGATCCCACTGACTCAGCCAGTTGCCTACGCACTGTGCTAAGTTCGCCTTGTAAATTATCGTTGCCTTTTTCCCAGTCACAGAGTCACAACTCAAAATTTGGCATTTTTGAAATTATGTAATTTGTTAAAAAAACATATGGTAAAGTCGCCCTTGCCCAATATGATTAGCATGTGCTACGAAATAGTTTTTCGCATTTTCTGACGAACGTATTATTTTGAGTTGTGGCTCTTTTGAAGACGGTGTTCGACATAACTATAGTTTGTTCAATCCACATTTCACACTTTGTGCAAAAATTATAAAAAATTGCAAAGTCTCAGCTTAATTTTCAACTTTTTATTAAAATTTTTTAGAATTTTTTTGAGTATGCAGTTTAATAGCCCATCAAATTCCAGGATAATAATGTGCAATTTTTAAATAGCTAAAGAATCGCGTTGATTTTTATAATTTTTTTCTGACTGCATTAAAATTTTAATTTTTTCCATACAAAAAAACTATCGAATATTATATTTAAAAATTGCACATTATTACCCTGGAATTTAATGGGCTATTAAACTGCTTATTAAAAGATTTCTAAAAAATCTGATTAAAAAGTTGAAAATTTAGCTGAAACTTTGCAGAATTTTTATAACTTTTAACCAAAGTTTGAAATGTGGCTGTTTGTATATGGTGTTTGTTATATAATGAGTTAGACTTTTATAGAAAAATAATGAACATTAAATAAACAAAAGAAAAATAGCCAAAACGACAAGTTAATGATAACATGGATTTCAAAAGTAGGAGCCAAATATAGTAAAACTGCGATTTTAGTTTTTTTTCTCTGGCGTCAGAATTTTTTTAAAAGGACTTTGAAATTTAAAGGATTTGATTAGTTCTAAAAATATATAGAAAGGCCCTAACTCGTATAGTCACTGAAACAAAAAAAAAGCCGTAACTGACTAAAATTTTGTATTGCTTAAAATGATCTGGGGACTTAAAATTCGATGAAATGCATCATAAACAATCAAAAAGGGAATTTCGGATTTTTACTTAGTTACGGCTTTTTGTATATCAGCGACAATATGAGGGTCTTTCTATATTAAGGTAACGATATGCAGAATGACAACATAGGTACCAAACAAAAGATATTTAATATAATATTAAATTTTTTTGTGCATAAGGCCGAATAAGTATTGAAAATGTCCTTTTAAAATTTTGTCCTTGAGTAGATATCCTTGCAGATTTGCAGTATTTGTTTTAGAAAAAATTATAGGTTAATGATTAATATACACACGACTATATCCTCGAATTTTGTCCTTGTACTTCAATAGCGGTAAAAAATAAAAATATTTAAAAGGGCATTTTAAATATCAATTCGTCCTTGTGAACCAAAAAAATTAATCAGCCTCATTGCGTAAGTCGTAAATTAGGCTAAATTGTACGACTCGACAACAGTTGCATCCCAACGGGACTGAAAGTTAGCTGCTACCCAAAGGAGCAAGTACGGAGCAGTACAAAAGCAAAGTAAGAAATAAAGCAAAGTAAGAAATAAATTTTTAAATTTCTAACAATGCTCAGAAATAATTATCTTTTTGAGTAGTAACATAAAAATATTTTCTTTTGAAAAAAAGTTAATTTATGTACACACATGTATGTATGTACATACATATGTATGTATTTTCGTATGTATACCACATAGAAAAGAAAAACAATAAGTACACTTAATAAAGCCATCAACTTGTTTGTAAAAAACGCCATTATTTTATTTAAACAAAAATCTATCTATATATATACATATGTAAATGTGAATGTCTGTTTGTTTATTACCTTATAACTTCTGAACCGCGGCACAGAATCGCACGAAACTTTGCACACTTATTTGCTTTTACCCCGGGAAGGCTATAGGCATAGAGAAACTGGAAAAGAGGGCGTGGCACCTCCTATACTAACTAAAATTTTCATGTTGTATATCTCTTGAAATATTTGTGGTAGAGCATTGGAACTTGCTGTCGAGATAAATAAAATTAATTCCATATTCATGGGAAAAATGGGCGGTATTGGAAAGGGGGGCGTGGCACCTCCCATAGGCGTGAATTATTTAATCAGCTCTAACTTCGGAACCGCAAGTCACATGAGCTTGAAATTTGGTATGCAAACATATCTATGGTAGGTGCTTATAGTAAGGTTTATATAAATGAGTTTATTTAGGGGCGTATCACTTAACATAGGCTTGGAATCTTTTATCAGCCATAACTTCGGAACCACAAGTCACATGACCCCTTTAATTCCTTCTGGCGTGGGGTGAAACCCGCAGGTAAAAGCTAGTATAATATAAAAATTTAAATTTTCATGCATCGCTTTTTAAATGCTTTAGTTGAAGTGCCCACCAAGGGCTTCTTTGGGTGTAGCAAGGGAGCGTTCTTTCTAATGACACACAATCAGCCTCATTGCGCAAGACGTAAATTAGGCTAAATTGTACGACCCGACAACATTGGCATTGCCTACTGTCGTGCTGAAATAAGTAAACGACGAAAATCGTCGAAAACTTCGCAGTGCTGCCAAGTTTTTCCGTTTTAATACACTAGTCGTGTGGAAATTTTAGGCAATGACGTGAAATTTTCGATACGATTCGACTCTCGAAAAACGACTTACATTCGATACGTCTCTTGCAATGAGGGTGAATGTTTAAATACAATGAAGTGTGAAATTAGGAAGGGAGCGCTTACTGCTAAATATGGAGCGCTCCAATAGAGCTAATGGAGCGCTTCTGGCCCCGTTGGGATTGTCTATTGTCGTACTGAAATAAGTAAACGACCAAAATCGTCGAAAACTATACAGTGCTGCCAAGTTTTTCCATTTTAATACACTAGTCGAGTGGAACTTTTAGGCAATGACGTAAAATTTTCGATACGATTCGACTCTCGAAAAACGACTTGCATTCGACACGACTCTCGCAATGAGGGTGATTATTTTTAAATTTTGAAGAATATTTTCTTTCATTTTGTACCTATGTATTAGTCTAAGATCTGACAAAGGCACGACCTTCACCAATCTGTTTAATGGATGAAATCTTTTTTCTATGAATTTTACGTTTATTAAAAATTTTCCGAGTGGGTTGGCTGAAAAAAGCCTGGCCAGGATACTTTTAATTAAATATTCAAAAAATATTATTATTTTTTAAATTTTGTACTAATTTGTCTAATGAACAAATAAGAAACCAATCGAAATTATTAAGCCTATAGAATGTGAAAACGTTGGGTTGTCTATTTTTTTCCTGCCCTACCTATCGGGTTGGCAGGTATGAACAGCCAGGTAATATTAGTCATTTTCACTCATCTGTTTAACACATTCTATAGGCTTTATGCTTTCAATCGGTATAACTGAATTATGTTCATTAAACAAATGAGTGCAAAATTAAAAAAAAAAAACAATACTAATTTTTGAATATTTAATTAAAAATATCTTGGCCAGGATTTTTTCAGCCAACCCACTTGCGAAATATTTCCTAACACGTTAAATTTCATACAAAGTAGATTTCATCCATTAAACAGATTGATGAAGGTCGCACCTTTGCCGGATCTCTTACTATATGTTTTCATTCTTAATTGCACGGAATTTTTTAAATAAATTTTGAAACTAAAATCTTTGAAATTTCAAAATCCTTTAAAATAATCCTAACGTCAGCGGGAAAACTTAAAACGCATTTCTGCTATATTTGGCCCTAATTTCGTGAGTATATTGACTGTTTTGTGTGTTAAATTTTTTTTTTGGTTTTTGATGCACGATGTTACAATTTAATTGCAGGGATTAGTGGATTGGAGTGTCTACACCTATGCTGACATCTGTCCACCTTAAGAACCCCGACAGTAAGGTTTTAAGCGAATCGAAGTGATTTTAATTCTTTTGGCCGCAATATTCATATTCAGCGACCCCAAAACCCCCCGAGTAACAAGTTTCAAGCGAATAGAAGGAATGCGTCCGCCATAATGGATCCCCCACTTTGAAATTTGAAAACCGGACTTTAGATTCGTAACCACCAAAAACATTAGAATATCTAATTTCATTTCATTTTCATTTAATTTATTAAACGAATTCATTGGTACAATAAGATCTAAATGCTCTTTTTTAGTACTACATGAAGCACAAACATAAAGCAACGAAAGAAAAACAATAAATAAATAAAAATTACGCTCTTGGTATTCTGATTCTACTTCTGGAACAATTTTGTGCTAACAGAAAGTTTTTTCTGATATGAAGTTGGCCGTTTCTAAAAGATTTTGTCGCTGAGCTCATATCTGAACAGTATCATACTAATTTAGCTTTCAAAGGGCCTAGAGACTTCTTCTTTGGCTTAAATTGAAGTTCGTGAATAGCACTAAAACTGACTTGTTGTTCGAGGGATAAAAATTGTGTGAGGATGTACAGCTGTATGCAAATAAAAAAAAATGCAATGAAACTTTTTTCGGTTTTTAAACAGTGGAATCGTGTTTCTCGTCTCAAAATCTATTTTACTAGGATAATAAAAAAATCCAAAATTTTTTTTTTTTATATATCCGTTGGATTTTGCATGTTTTTTTTTCAAAGAATTGGCATGAAGTGTTAAAAACACACACTGTGAGCAGTTGAGTTAGCTCGAATAACTTATTTTTCAGTCGAGAAATGTAATTTTAAAATTTTAGAATTACTACGGTGTATTTTTCTCAAAAACATATGCCTTAAAACATATGATTTGTAAAAATATAATTAATTTATAAACAATATATAATATAATAAAATAAAATGTCTATCATACTTGGGCGTTTAAAATTTTTGATTCTCTTCCTCTAGTCCCGCAATTACATTTGTATGTATAAACATATGCGCACTCGTTGAGAGTTCTATTCAACTGATAATCAATAATTTAAACACACAAATTTTTCTCTTCATATTCCCACCGCACCAAGTTCCGGTGAAAATGCTTCCACTTTGCGGCGGTTACGAGGTGTCGGGCAACCTAGTCACAACACCGGCTGTACCAATGCTGGTAGCAAAGCTAAGTTTTATCGATTTGGTATGGCCAAAAAGTTTGAAGTTAAGTCAAGTTTAGTTTTTGGTTTTAGTCGCAAACGAACCGCGTCAACGAAGCAACTATCTATGCGCATGCGCACTAATAAACATTCAGAAGGAAATCAACGAATTAAGAGATATTGCAAACAAAGATATCGAACACATAAGTAACTGTATTACAAAATCTATTGACTGGTGTTATAAATTTATACATACATACTCGTACTAAATATGTACACACATATATCAAATAAAGTTAAATTTTTCTCATTTTTAAACTTTGATTGAGCTCAGTGGTTCAGTGTTATGAGGACGATGAAGTGACCGAGTGTCTGTCGGTGAATGCGCTTAGCATTTAACTTTAATTACTTTATAAAATGTTCGTATTTTTTTTTAAGACGAGTATTAAGTGATTCGATTTGAAAAGAGTTGCTAATTGTAGTTGAGGTCAGTGTGACCTTAGTTGGGCCTTTGGGCCAGATATGTATGTACGTACAAGAAAACCAAAACAAAAACAAAAACAGGTATTTATAAGAGAAAGAGAAACAAATTAAAATAATAATACAGAGGCAATAATAAATAAACCATAACAACAAAACTCGACAATCAGACTGTCGAATGGAAAAATGAAAGTACAGCAAGTGTTGCAGCCACATTGGCTCTCGTTCATCTACTCCATAGCCATTGTTATTGCCGCCGTTGCTGATTACGCAAGCGCACTGCAACAGCCACCGCCACAACTGGAGCCACAAGCACAGCGTAAGCAAGAGCAGCCAACAACTCGGTTCCAAAAACAACCTCAACATGCGGAAGTGAACCATACCGCAGGTGAATCGTTGAGTTTTGGCTCAAAAATTGTTGAATATCCTGTCGCCAAGCTAAATAGTAGTAGCTCTACTGCTATCAATGCTACCCACCATGAAAAGCAAACAACAAGTGTTAACAAAGAAAAACAACAACCACAGAAACAGCAACAAACAATCATACATGCATCAGATACGACGAATGTTGCATCAGCGTCAAGGGTTGCACGGCGCTATGATGCACCCATCGTTCCAGACACTCAACTAGTTGCTCAATATGACTTGCCGCTGGTGAAAAAAAATCGTCGGACTAACAACAGCACAGCAAATTCATCTACGACGACTCCCTCAGTGATATCCAGGTCAAAGCAGCAAGCTACAAATTCGCGTTCAAACTCACGAGATGCTCTTTCAATTGCGGCATCGTTGGGTCAGCGTTCCAATTCTTTAGGTTCCCAAGCACAAAGCGACCGACAGCAGGTAGCAAATCGTGCTGGCAATTCAAATGTTGCCAGTGGGGCGAGGCAGAAAGCGCGGAGGAGGGATGATAGGCGTAGTGGAGTTGGCGCTAATCAACAATCATCTTTGCCATCAGTTGGCACTGGAAGTCGGAGGGAAGTGAATAAATCGCGAAAAGATGTGAGTGCAACAAATTCAGCGCCGAGTGCAACAACGACTACTTTGACTTCAACGTCGGCTTCCACACCTACTACATCCGTGGCTGGTAAGTTTTAAATTTGCAGATTGAGCGCTGTAATTGACTATCCACATGTAGGCATATATGGCGTAGGTTCCATGCGGAAAATGTTAAGAAATAGATACATGTTTATACACATTAGGATGCATCACTCTCCATAAAAAAACGGTACTGTTTTATCTATCAGAAATACAAAGAATTCTGCCAATATATTTCGGAAAAAATTAAGATTTACACGAGCTGGACCATTTTGAAATAGCCAAAAAAAAATCGAATTTTTTTAAACCTAAATAAAATTAGCTTTAAAAAAACTTTTTTTTTCTAACAAATCACCCCTGATTAAAGAAGAGTTTTAACTTAAAAGGGTTGCAAAATAATACGATTTTTGGAGATATTTTAAAATCGGTCTAGCTCACGTAAATCTGAGTATACTTCCAAAATATTCTGGCGGAAAAAAAGTTTGTAATTCCTAACCCCTAGGTTGAAAGCTTGTTGGACTCGGACCTAGCTATGCGCTAAAACAAAAAGGTATTATTGACGTACATAAATTATCTCTTTCGATTGGTACGCTTGGTTGTTTCTATTTCTATTCGAATGCATTCAATTTTAGTTACCATAAAATTGCATTTTTTTTGAAGGTAATGAACTTTTCCATCCTACGAAAGGGATATGTATAGCTCTTAGAAGATTTTGTATATCCTTTTATAATATGTGCACCACCCTCATAGCTGATAACTTCCCTAATAATTGCGGCATTCCGCTTACGTGGTCAGGCCAATCCGATGCATATGAGTGTGTTCGGTTAGTAACCCTGCGAGAAAAATTACGTTTTCTCTATTCAAAAGTTGTACATACATACATATGTCCTTTTTAGGGAAGGATAGCCAAAAAGCCTTTCCTCTCTAAATCACTTCCCCTCAGTACTTACTGCGTTCTTAGTTTACCTACTCCATAATTGTAAGTCCCCGAGTCTTCACCCAATTTAGTGCGCAAATTGGTGCTGACCTTTCAAGGACATACAATAAGCCTATCCCCATTAGGCAGAACACGTTACGTAAAATTCTGTCGAAATTTCCTCCCAAGAGTTTTGAAGCAAAGAAAATATCATCAGTAGCTCAACCATTCATCGACATATTTATATAATCGGATTGATGTATCGAATAGCAACGAGCGATGCTTCCGATGTAGCGGTTTCTGGAACGTGCCACATTTGTTCGCTACATCGTGATGTGATAAAAAGAAAAGCTGGCAGCACTCCGCAAGGTTGCAGAAATCTCTTAAAATATCGACCCCTTTGCGCAAAATTATCATATAAAAGCCAAATTTTACAGGAAAGTATTTTTTGTATTTTTCTCTGCTTTGGCTAGTACCTTCAACACCAAAGTTTAGATTTGGTGAGATAATAAAGAAATATAACTAAACGCAAGATTTTTTGTAGAAAGGTCTCTACATTTTATTTTCTCAGCACATATCTTCTATACTTTTATACTAATTATATAAAGAGAAGTCCCTTTTTTTTGTAACAGGTAATCTCGCGAACGGCTGGTCCGATTTTCATGAAATTTTGTATACAAATAGCTTTCGGTAACCACCATGTTTTAGGCTAAAAAAATTTAACTTTTTTTTTCGAGTAGGTGGACCAGGAACCGGTCTATTAGAAAAAATCTTATTATAGCCCGATTTGCTTAAAATTTAGTACGTAAGTAGCTTTTTAGCATGCATTAGCATATGTGATCAATTTTTTCCGAGAAGTGGACCAGGGACCGATCTATTCCAAAAAATCGCATTTATGGTCCGATTTGCTTAAAATTCGGTACATAAGTAGTTTTTTAGCATATATTAGGATATATGGTCCATCTTTTCCGAGAAGTGGACCAGGGACTGATCTATTCGAAAAAATCGTATTTACGGTCCGATTTGCTTAAAATTCGGTACGTAGGTAGCTTTTTAGCATATATGATCCATTTTGTCCGAGAAGTCGACCAGGGACCGATCTGTTCGAAGAAATCGTATCTATGGTCCGATTTGCTTAAAATTTGGTACGTAGGTAGCTTTTTGCCTGGATAAGCTTATAGATTCCTGTTTTCCAATTTTCATGCAATTTCGAATATAAATAGCTTTAAGTAACGACCATATCAAGGGGCGAATTCGTCACTTGGTATGGAGATATACGAAATCAATCGCATACTCAATCGAATAAATCGAATTTTTATACTGCATATCTCTGAAAGTATTCTTGGTACAGTACTGGAACTTCGTATGGAGATATGTATATAGTTGAAATCAAGCCCATACTCATGGAGAAAATTTGGGCTATTTGAAAAGGGGTGTGAGGCCTACAAACGTACCGACCTTTAGCTATCTTTGAATGAATTTGTTTATTCTTCTGTAGGTGTGTTTGTGAGTGAAATCCTCCTAAATGGTTGTACGGATTTTAACGAAACTTTTTGTGTATTTGAGTGGGTCTCTGGATGGTTTAGTTTCACAATTTAATCCGACAGTTGGCGCTGTAGTTGAGTTATTACTAAAAATCTTATTTATGATCCGATTTGGCTAATGTTTTAAATATGTATGCAATACTATTGCAAAAACATGCTGCCAAGTGGTGCTGAAGTCGAGTTATTACTAAAAATAGCCAAGTGAGAAAAGGGGCCGTGAAGGTCAGATTAAATCGACCTGTTGCATCATTGAGTATATCGAACGCTCCTGCGTTGCGATTGGCCCAATGGATGTGATTTTCCAATATTATTATGTGTTCAAACTTTTAAGGTATTTCGTCTGAAATAAGTATATGTATATTGCATTTCTGTAGAACAATGATTCGCACCCATTTTGAAATTGCCACCAACTATACTGTAAAGCTTCTAGGATATTCACTATAGAACCGGGTCATTGTTGCCGCCAGGGAGTGAAGAGGAAAAAATTTATTTCGCTTTGCGAATAACCTATGAAATGCCGCACAACTGGAGAATTTCAAGAACTTCTTCACGGATATAACACTTTCCTTAGGTTATTTAAAGCGGCAAATGACCAATCTTAGCAGACGAATGTGCCAATGAAAATCGTAAACGTGAATTATTGGTGAAAATGTTGGACCAAAAAGTTTCAATGAAATATATAAAAATTTTGGGCGGGACGAAGTTCGCCGGGTCTGCTAGTGTATGATAATTTCGCCCACAAGAAAAAGGCCATTGTCACATACGATAAAATTTACAGTAAATTTTGGGGTAGCTATTGGGATTTAAGCCGTAATATTTGAACAGGTGATGCGTTATGGGTTGTAAAACAAAGTTGTATCAAAAAGTAAATTCCGTAAAAAATGTTACATACGATAATTTTGTGCAAAGGGGTCGATATGTTCGAAAAATATCTTGATATGGAAGGAACTACTTGACACTGTCAAGGAAAAAAATTGCCAAAACTAAACGCAATTTTTAGCAACTTCAGTCTTGCACTTTATTATACTAAAATATTTTTTTTTTCAGATTCTAATTAAAATGTTTGCAATTTAGGTGAAACCTTGCAGATTTTTTTTTAAATTTTTGTCCAAATTTGATCCAAAACCTGAGATCTACCACATTTGTTTAAAATCTACCACATTTTTTCCAGATTCTAAAACAAACATTTCTTTAAGTCCGATCACTGAGTCCGAATGACCGCCGTATGTATAAGAACGTATGAATCTATATTACATATGTACCTACATATGCGTTTCTTATTTTTTCTTTATATGTATATGCAGAAATAGGCGATACAAAATTTTATGTATATGTAGCAGTTTTTTTTGTTGATAAAGTAACTGATATGTACTCGTATGTATGCATCTCCCTAAACCAAAACAATTAGCCCTTCACATATTAAGTGCTTGATCGAACTTATAGCAATTGGGGGGACCAGTTTTACGCCGCCTCCGAATGGCAAATGGATTTTATGGGAAGCTTTTTCAAGGCAGAAATACACTGGGAGGTTTGCAATAGCCTGCCGAGAGGCGACCGCTATTACAAAAACTTTTTTTTGGAAGTTTCTCGGATCAGAGACCGAACCTTAGTCCTGCCGAGTAGAATTGCGCACCTTAACCCGCTTGTAGTTAGGTATGTATGTATATTAATGCAACATTACATTTTAAGTATTTTTATTTTTGTTGGGGTATGCACTTTGTAGGTATTTAAGAAACTAGGGTTTTGCGAAAAAATTTAGAGCGAAATATAGTTCAGTATACAGATTTTTCATAGCGAGTGCTCTGTTTACTCATGTAATCACACAAGCACATTTGTATGTATAACTTGTGTGCATACGCATGAAGTATGTTTGTATGTACTTAGCAATTTTTATTATCATATAGAAACATGCAAATCGCTACAAAGTCCTTGTACAATTGGTACAAATTAATTTTTTTCATCTTTTACATGTAACCTTCAACAGGTTCTTGTTTTATTAAGCAATCTACTCTCAGAAAGTTGCAGACGTTCGTTGCAAGTTACAGTGGGTAATTTGTATTCTAAACAGAAATTTTAATTTATTTTATTAATTTTTTATATAAAAGGTATTTTCAAAACAACAAATTAAAAATCTTCATCCTCTTATTTGCCATCACAACCGCCTTGCGTAGAATAAATTTTTCGAAGACCTGCAAAGCCTTTTCATCTTTGTTCGAGACGTTATCCAGGTTTATAAGCCAAATAAATGGACAGACATGATGATCAGAGTAGCAGAAGTTGAGATGATTGTAAACAAAGGATGTAGGAAATGTCAACGAAAAGATTAAGAGCCAGTGCGAACAAAGTGTTTTCATCATTGTTCTCTAAACAGCCGACGTTTTATCCTTGGTTAGAAGGTCTTAGCCAACTTGCATTCCAAGGTTTTCGCCTTCGACTAAAAGCCCATCTGTTCAGAAGCAAATCACTGTCTGTCACTCTAGAATCATATCACAAAAGCTCGTTGGGTAGTTTGTATGCTGCTACAACAACAACAACAACCTTGATGATCTAACTCTGTATAATTAGGTTTGTTCGTCGAGCAAAAAATTT